CCCAAGTCAGCCGTTGCTGAAACTGACCAGCGCTGACTACAGGAAGCCCGAGGCACAGTTGCTCTGCCCCAGGCTTCCTGGAATCAGCTGCTGATCAGTTTCAGCAGCAGCTGACTTGGGGTTCTTAAGTTGAATCTGTATGTAAGTCAGAACTGGCGGTCAATTTCAGCAGCGGCTGAATCTGGACGCCAGTTCCGACTTACATACAGATTCAACTTAAGAACAAACCTACAGTCCCTATCTTGTACGTAACCCGGGGACTGCCTGTACTATTTTTAAGCACTAGAAGTTCAAACAAAACTGGCATACTTACCGTTACAAAAGCTGGGAATCAGACCTCTCAGCTGTATCCTAAGTGACATACCTAATATCATACAGGAAGCCTGGGGTAACAGAGCTAATATCCTAACTACTAGACTCTCCTTCCCATCAAGGAGCAAATTGCTCTCCTCACTTGTCCCACATTTTTACCCCCTAAAGACTTTGATCCTCTTCTTGAATTCTTAGCTCAAACAATGTAGTCCTTCTCAGTAGTAAATAAAACAATAACAAAAAAACAATGTCTCAGCTAAGCCTTCCATTCTTCCTGTGGTAAGATTTATGTTTTTTTCATAGTGGAGAAAAATGTTATTCTATTTTTGGAGAGGTGGACACCATCCATAGAGTACAGACACACATGCACCCACCCACACATGCATACTTAATCATGCCTAGAAAGATTTACTGTAGGATATATTTTTAGGCAGTTTTTCAAATGGCAAATTTCCACCAGGGTATGGCACTTGCCATGTCATCATTAACTACACAGAAAATATTAGTTTAGCAGTGGCCCACCCAATCACAAAGGGAAAGCGTTCCACCCAAGATCTAGAGGGAATCAGGGTCTCTCACTGTGTGGGCCAGTGGAGACGAAGCACATTACATACATACTTGGCCATCATCACCCAAAAAAGCCAAAGGCTTCTCCTGCAGTGTGCATCTTGCAGGATTGATTCCGGAGCGGAATAGTTTTCAGTTGCACAGGATGCCGTTTGGCTGCAATGAAAGATGAAAAAAAGATGTAGGAGTCAATCACTGGAAAAGAGAGGCTGGATTTAAAGAGGATTAATATGACAGCCAAGGATATGAAGGGTAGTGGAAAACCCAGGAGGCCCCACTGCTCCCGTCTAGTACAGGCCTGCCAAGTTATACAGATTTGCAGCGTGACACATGTCTTCCATTTTGTATCATATGGCCACACAAATAACTCATTTGTTCACATGGCTTTCTGCAAGCTGCTTCTCCCTTCTCTGTAAAGGGCCAGCACCACATGCTGTGTTTTACTGCATGGCCTCTTTCTTCTCTTTTTGCTCAAAGTGTTTATTGATTTTAAGAATAAAAACAACATACAGAACTTACAGAGGCTACTGAGGTAATTCCTCAAGCACATGACCCTTCTCTTTTTAACCATTCTCTCCCCTACTGGTTCAATATTTATGTGTCTATTCTCAAATGAAAGTGCTGCAGGAGAGGTAGACAGAGTGGGTCTATAGCTCTGATTCAGGACAGCCCATAAGCACATGCTTAATGATAAGAATGTGCGTAAGTTAGTACGGATGAGCTAAAGCGTGTGCATGCTCTCCTGAATCAGAGCCTTAAAGAACTGAATGACAAATCACTTATGCAGAAGTACCACTTATATTATTTTTTTAAATTAGGGGAATGGTGCAGTGGAGAGTGAGGGGAATATAGAAATTGAGGATATAAACATATCTTTTAAGATAGAAAATAGTTGGAATAGATGAGAGTTGTCTGTAATAGTAAACAAAGTGGAATCCATTTACAAAAATCTTCCCCTCTAGCCCCAGTAACTCTGTGAAGAATCTGTCCTCTGCATCCCTGAAGGTGTTCTTCAGATAACACCTCAAATCTAGCTGACTCAGTTTAAACAAGAGTGTTTATAGGTCAGGAGAGGGTGGAATATTTATGTTTCCCCCTGTGGCAGACATGTTTGTTTCTTTCAGCCATTGCTATCAGTTTACATAGGTTTATACTGGTTTATGTTTTCAAGATTATCTTTCCAATGCTCTTATGGACTAGAAACTTACTATTAAAACGAAAACTGAGATTCTCCTCTATTTTTCACAGACCTCCCAGGTCCAGGAGGCCCACAGCTTCAGATTTGTCAAAGCTTGCAGGCCAGCCCCACCAATGGACCAAACCGCACAAAGATTTAAACAAAGAAACCCACTAATGTATCAATGTTACTATTTAACATTTGTCACAATTATTTCCCAGTCCTGAGCAAAAACTCGGACACTTTGTTCTAATCTGTCTAAAGAGTAAAAGGCCCCGTAAGTGGTGGCAGCAGAGTCCAGAAGACACTGGGAGAAGCAGGACATCATCCCTAGATTGTAGCAAAGACTACAATGCTGGCTAGCCCAGCAAAGCCCCAAACTTTTGTCTTTAGACTTACATCATAACATTGTGCTCATTAAAACAATAGGAATTGGTACAACAATATAAAATGTCAAATACTTTGTACAGGTAACAATCATTCTGACATTTCCTGACTTCTCAGGGCTTGACTTTGACACCTTCATAATGTTCTTCTGTGGTAGAGTGTGTGTGTGCATGTGTGTGCTTGCTTGTGCATGCATGCAGGCACATGCGAGTAAAGAAGTAAAAATAATATTATACATTACACACACACACAACACTAACGTGTGGTATGCTATCCCACTAATGTAAAACATTGACCTCTCATCTTTGGCAATTACTTTAAAGGAAAAAAAATGTAAGCAACTTTGCCCCTGATGTGTTTTTGGTAAGATATATTCAGGTCAGCAGACTTGAATTAAATTATTCAGCCTTCTCTCAAACCTCAGGCTAGAATGGATACATTTCAAGGAATGCTTAAGTAACGTTTTCTTTAAAAGGAATTAGTCCTGCTTCAGTGTACTTGAAAATGTACACATCCTTTTTGGAAACTGCAAACATATATGGTATTTAGCAGTTCACATAAATGGCTTTATCAGATATAATTGTTTCCATCTTTGCTGTCAGTTATGCCAAAAGACAGACACTGTTTGCTGCCTTTTTATATTACTCTCCCATCCCCACCTTCTAAAATTTAGGGATTTTGCCATAGTTTGGGAGGGAAACAGACATCTTACCGTTACTTCTATCCCATTTAGTTATCTCTTGATTTTATGTATGTGTGTATGTGTTAATACTAATTGACATTCCAATAAAATTTTACAAAGGTGTCATAAATTACCAAACAATAGTTTCATTTCTTCTCCCATGGGTGGGTTTCATTATATGCTGAACACGTTTATCAGATCTCCAATTCCTCAAGCCCTGTCTACCTGCCAAAACACTTTCCATTTTCAATTTTTATTTGTTACTGTTAAATGTCTGCTACTCTAGGATATTTTAAAAGCAGTATATTAAAGGTAAGCACTGTAGTATGGGTGGACTATCAAGAGCCATATAAATAGCAGCTATGTTATAAAGTCCTTTTAAAAGTATAGTGCTGCCACCATAGTCACTTAAATTCATGGGGCCAGATTCAGACCAATTATTTAAATGTCTCCATGAGGGAAAATTAATGCTACACAAACAGGCTGAAGGCCCCAATCCAGCTTTCACTAAAGCCAATGGAATGATTGCCATTGGCAGGAATGAGAGATAAACTGGACCCCTATTGTAATAATATATGTTGACTGGCAACACACCCACCCTTATGAAGATTATTCCTGATAATAACAGGAAATAATATGGTAGAGCAAGGTGTAGAGTTCTCATTGCTAAATCACAGGGCATATGTAGATACATGTTTGTCCAGGCTCTGGAATCATCATAAAGGGCCCAAAGAAAAGCCTTTCCAGGGATGTACAAGACTCCCCATCGTGACTGCCCCTTGTGGCATAAACTGGCACTGCAGTCTCTCCACCTCACACTTTTCCTCAGGGTGCTCATGATCTGGGGTGGTTACTTGACTCTCCAGGTGGGCCACATTGATGCTGTGACCCATTCCAGGATAATAAAGTCCCCTAGTTCAAGTCCAAAAACAGCATCAAAGTAAAATAATCTTCAGCCTCCTTTCCTTGCTACATAACTGCCAGCTTCTGGGTGCCAATCACCCCACTGCTCCCAGCCAACTCTACTCTCCCATCAAGGGCCTTCACATAGGAACAGCCTGTCTACTCTCCTCCCAAGCCAGCCCCAATTGCTGGGCCTTCTTCCTTTTAGGTCCAGCATACACATGTAGGTGTAGCAGGGCTAACTGAACAGGGTTAGCTGGTCCCAGGCCACCTGACCCTCAAAAGGAACCATAACTCAAGGTATCAACATTGATTCTGCCTTTCCTCTTCCAACTACCTTTCCTCTTTCTCGATAAGCACTCATGCAAACACAAACACCGAGGTGATCCCAAAACAGAATAGTGTTATCATTTCTGTACACTTTTGGCTAGTCCTTTCCACCTTTTCTTTTATCCCATTTTAGGGAACATCATTAATTACTGGTTTAGTGGGAAGGATGTTTTGTTTTCCCGCCACCCTCTGAGGTTTGTTGAATTAAAATAAATCAATATGTAACAAAACAACAAAGAGAAACAAATACAGTAAGTATTTTTTTTCTTAAAAACTTGACCACTTTGGATCCAATCCAAAAATATCTGTAATCCTCCACGCTGCAGAAGCTGCCTCTCCTCTGTAGCTGGTCTAAAAGAAAATTCAGCTCACCGTCCACAGCTAAGGAGATAGACTCTGCAGATCTACCAGTTATGTGGTAGAGAGGGAGGGAACGGCTGCTAGAGTAACTTGTATTAATTACTCTCCATCTCCCATGCGCCTCTGCACCACAATTCTAAACTATCCCAGATCCCTTCGCTGGGGCTGTTGAAGACAGTGAAGCAGAACAACCCGTCCTGCATTTTAGGTGGAAGAGACATGTTCTGATCCTGTCCTGTGACCTGTGCATAACAAAAACCTTAGTGCTGAAGTCTGACTCCACCTATCAGAAGAAATTGGTCAGAGAAATCCATCGACTTCTCAATCAGCTGGCACAAAAGAGGAATTACCTTTGTGACTTGGTGGAAGCTAACACCAGAATTGTGTGACATCCCTTATCTTTTTTTGCTACTTTATATTTTTATTATTTTATGCCACGTATCATTTTAATGTGCACTTAATCTTAAAAAATTAGTTCATCTGGAAACTCTGAAGGACTTCTGCCACTTCCAAGGTTAAACATTCGAAACATGTTTTTTTCTCCCCCAGGTTCAGAGAAATGGTCATACGTTTTTCTTTTTTTCCTCTTCCATTATCAATAAGAAACTCCTTGCCAGTCATCTTTTTTCATCTTCCTTCACTACAATATACGTCTATTTTCATGGTATAAATTATTGTGATGTCACCACTGAAAACAAATTATATGCAGGAGGGACTGTAGGACCTAAAACTATGTGCTTCTACTGCTGAGATTAATAAAATTAAGTCCATGGGCCAGAGCCAGCCTGCCAAGCATTTTGATCCAGCCTGACCAGCTGATTAGCAGCAGTGCATAGGTTGAGCCAGTAGCATGTGTTCAGCTGCCCCTCCCTTGCTCCATCCTGCAGCTGAGCTGCTCCCAGGATTCTGCTGCTAGCTGTGCAGCGAGGGGAAGAGAAAGGAGAGTGCTGCCCCTGTACCCCATCTCTGCAGAGCAGGGCTTTTAGAGAGGGACACACACAGTGGAGCTGCTCCAGTCTGAAGCATGGATGGTAACTGACTCAGAGGAGTGCCTGTCTTAAGAGGCAGTGCAGTGTTTCTAAGATTTCAGTTCTCTTTCTGGGTATGTCTACACTACCCTCCTAATTTGAACTAGGAGGGTAATGTAGGCATACCGCACTTGCAAATGAAGCCCGGGATTTGAATTTCCCGGGCTTCATTTGCATAAAGCCGGCCGGCGCCATTTTTAAATGCCGGCAGTTCGAACCCCGTGCCGCGTGGCTACACGCGGCACGGAGTAGCTAGTTCGGATTA